TGGTTTTGAATTTGAGTCTTTGGATTGTGAATTGAAAATTTGTGTAGTCGTATCCCAATTTGGAAATTGAGTATCTTGAGCTTTTAGGAATACCAAGTGTTTAACCATTTCTATGGTGGTAAGTGTGACATCTTCCCTTTTGTATGTATGCATAAATGATAGATTTGAATAAAAAATGTGTTTAAGAATACCCTTTTCGATAATGAAAAAAGGGGGAAGAATATGCGTGTGATGCTTATTCCTATTTGATGTTAGATATGCTTGATCATGAGTGATGTGTTCTTATTCATAAGTAATACTTATTGAATAATGTAGTCAGGTTAATTGATATTGGTGTTCGTCCATGTATAATATACTTCCAATATGTCATTGTCTTTTAACAGTAGTTCCTTGTCGAACATGCATGAATTGTTGAATAGATCCTAATTTGCATGATTAAGGGAGAATATATGTACATCTTATATTGTTTAATTTGTGATAAGCATCATTTGTTTGTCATCATCAAAAAGGGGAAAATTGTTGTTAGGTTTTGATGATAAATAACAAATGATGATTATCTAACTAATATGTGTATTGAGATGAGCATGAACAGGCCATGAAGCATGAAGAATGTTGATTAAAAATTAGATCACATTATTGAAGATTACAAAGTATGAATCGTGCTTGAGTTCCTCACACTACAAGAAAATAACCTTTTCGTAGCGATTATTTTAACCTTTAGTATCGATTGTAATTGCAACAAAAAGCTTTCCCAACGAATGATCATTCGATACAATATCCCCCGTTGCCTTAGCCTTTAGTAGTGGTTTTCAATATCGCTGGGGTTGGCCTCAATAATCGATACGAAAAACTACATCCAATCGTGGTGATTATTGTAGCGATTACAATCACTATAAATGTTCAACTCATTTTCTTAAAAAAAAAACATGCGTATGATCTTTACAAGATTCGAACATGTAACCTCAAAATCTTATATTAAATGTTTCACCAATAAGTTATGACATATTTTATGTATTCTTTTTCAAACAATATTTATATATCTAGTGTTGAAAAGGCTTTTTGTATCGATTTTTAGGATTTAGTGGCGATTGTAAATGATACGATTTCTCAAAATTATATAAATGTGTAAAAATAGTGTAGATATGTATTATTATGCTTTCCGTATCGATTTTATATGAGAAAAGCATGGCGATTGTAAAAATGATACGACATCCTTAATTATTTCACAAACATACTTGCATATTGTAGCGAATGAACAATCGCTACGAAAAGTGATTTTTCTTGTAGTGTCAGGGGAACACAAGAAGAAGAGTTCCTCAGGGGAACACAAGAAGAAGAGTTCCTCAGGGGAACACAAAGAGAAGAGTTCCTCAAGGGAACATAAGGAGAAGAAGAGTTCCTCAGGGGAACACAAAAAGAAGAGTTCCTCAAGGGAACACAAAGAGAAGAAGTCTAAATGTTCAAACGTTCTTTTAGACTTTATATGCAGCTCCTAAGAAGCACTAGAAGTTGGTTCTTCGACGAAGGGAACAAGCAGCAGTTCCTCAACGGAACAAACAAAGAGAAGTTCCTTTGAAGGAACTAGAAGCTTTGGAGTAGAAGCTTCATCAGAAAAACATGAAAACGACAGAAAAATAGGAGTATATTTTTCTAAGAATCATGTAAGTATGTTGGACAAGAGAAATTGTTTGGAACAAGCCTAAGGAACTAAATTGGAGCTTTAGTTTAGAAGGAACCGAGTCTGACAGCTTGGAAGGAACTAGGTGACCAGTCAGTTCCTTATGGGTCAGTTAAAGAAAAATAAGTAACGTTATTTTAATGAATGAGTTTATATTTAGTTATTTTTCTTTAGAAGATAAAGTTTTTAAATGTGATAAAATTAGTCTTCGAAAAAGATTTTTACTGTTTTTGGAAAATAAATCTTTGATATTACTTTACAAAAAGATTTTATTTTGTTTTTGGAAAAAAAATATCTTAAATATTATTTAACAATATCTTTTTCATCAAATAAGATTTTAACTGCTTACTTTATCTTCTCTCCAAGAAATCAGTTTTCTTGATTTTACTCCACGTTCAACGTAGTGCATAAGATTTTGACTACCATGTTATCACGTTTCTCTACTCCCCAAGTTATTGGCAGTTACCTAAAAATAAGGGAACTGATTGTTAGTGGAGGATTTAGTGGGAGTAGTGGTCAAGTCTTATGCATGCTATAAAAGGAGAGTTAAGTTTTAGTTTCAATTTGTCTGACTTTAGTGAGTCATTCCAAATTAGCCTATATCTCAAGTGAAAGAGCAGCAGAAAAGAATTATATTTTCTCTCCACGTTTTTGAGTCCGTTCCTTTATGTTCCAAGTTCCTTACAAGTCTCAAAGTGTCCAACATATTAGTTTTATATATTACATCTTTCATATGTATTTGAGAGTTGTTAAAGGGTTTTAGTGAACTCTTGTAATGGGGAATTTATGAGGGTTGAGTGAACTCTTGTACTGGGGTGAGAACTTGAGTGAGTTCTTTGTATTGAGAGAAAAAGAAAGCTTTGAGTGAAGTTTGAGAGAAAGAGAAAGATCGAGTTAGGCTTTGAGTGAAGTCTTAAGTTAGAGAGAGAGTTAAAGTGATCAACTGATTGAGGGATTAGTTGATTGGGGAACTCGGGTTCATTGAGGAACTCGATAGAGGCTTAAGTTCCTTATAGGTTGTAACAGAGTCGTCGGCCTATTTTAGTGGAATGTTTTGAGTCAAAATCCCTTGGGGTCAAGGTTTTTCACTTCCTATTTGGCTTAGGAAGTTTTCCTCGTAAAATCTCTCTTGCACTATTTCTCTACTTTCGTTTAGTTTCTTTTATTTCCGCAAAAAGTGACTAGAAACCTCCATACTACAATTCGCCCCCTCTTGTAGTATTTCATATAAATAACAAATAGGATAATTTGTAAATTACCACCCAAAAATAGTATCAATTTCTAAATAACCACCCAATTAAAATTTTATTTTAAATTACTACCCATTAAATTAAAAAAACGCTCAGATTACCACCCATTTTGTTTTTCCGGTGGAATTTCCGTAAGTGGGCCCCACTTTTTTTTTATTTTTTTCCTTTTTTTCTGGCTTTCTCACTCTCTCTCCCCGATTTCACTCTCCTTCTTCCTACCTTCTTCCTTTCTTCTTCCCAACCACCACCCCTACCACTGCAAATTATCCTTTTTAATTATCAAAATAAGCGCATTTCCAACTTAGAGTAACATAAGATACATAATTATCATACAATTCCCCACCCAATTCATCTGCAACAAAGTTACTAAAAATGCTAATCAACCCACGAATCATTATCCAACAATTAGTCTAGCATTCCAACGAAATATAAGAAATGATGCCAATTCCTTTAATAACTCAACCAAAGCCAAATCAAAAATTAACAGCAATTAACCCAATTCAATCCCCCAACAAAAAAATCAAAAGAACCCCAGAAAAATTGAACAAATACCCAGTTCAATTCACCAACAATACAACCAAATTACAATAAAAATCACAAACATCGCAGAAAACCAATAAAAGGGATTGAACAAAAATTACCAATAAAAGGGGTAATGATGAGAATGATATAACAAGCAAGACCACCACTACTAGAAGTAAAGAAATGAGCAATTGGTTTATACGAAACAACAATAGCACCAACAACAATGGTAGCAAGCAATTGTAGTGCGATAATTGAGTAAACTTCTCGAATAAAACTCCATCGAAGTCTTGGGTCTTCAAGCATCACAGGATAAAGTTGTGTTGATCCTCCTTCAAGATCATTTTTCCCAGAATACCACATGATTTCTAAGTTTCTTGCTTGTTTTTAATGAGAGAGAAAATCAGGGGTTTTAATCGGGTTTTCCTGGGTAATTGGGTTTGTGTTTTCCTGTAAAAAGAGAGAGAATTTGGTGGGTTTTAAGGAGAGAGAAAGCGAAACGAAAGTTCTTGAGAAGTCTTCTACTCTTCTACCGTTCTTGTGAAGGGGGTGTTAGGGGAGGATCATGAGGTGGAAGAATCTGAAAAATGGGGGAGATTGGGGTGGTGGTTGGGAAGAAGAAAGGAAGAAGGTAGGAAGAAGAAGAGTGAAATCGGAGAGAGAGAGTGAGAAAGCCAGAAAAAAAAGGAAAAAAATAAAAAAGTGGGGCCCACTGACGGAAATTCCACCGGAAAAACAAAATGGGTGGTAATCTGAGCGTTTTTTTAATTTAATGGGTGGTAATTTAAAATAAAATTTTAATTGGGTGGTTATTTAGAAATTGATACTATTTTTGGGTGGTAATTTACAAATTATCCTAACAAATATGACTACCATTTAAAATCTGTAAAAATTAACCAAATCCTTAACAAACACGTTGATGAAATTAATTAAATAGTGGTACGTTCATCGCCTAACAATAACCTTTTTCAATATTGATATACAATATACAAGTACTCACAAGTACTGCACTCAAAAAAAAAAAAAAAAAAAAAAAAAGTACTTGCAAGTACTTCGATTTTTCAATATTTTCCAAAATTTTTTTTTTATTACTAACAAATTACATAATTGGTCCTGTAACAGAAATCATATTTCAAATAAAAGACTAATTAAAAAAAAAAACTACATTTGCATACACTAAAACATACAATAATACCCAAGAAAAAAAAAAAAAAAAACAAAGCACATTTTCTTGATCTTGATAACCGATTAACCGACTTAACTAACTTTAATAGATAGATATAAATATATAATGTAAATTGACCATTTCACCGGCTTAAATATATTTTGGCCTGGCTTTCAAGTAACAACCAAACACAACCATTATAAATAACCATCTACACTATCATTTTATTGTTATAATTCATTTCATCATCAACCCATTTCAATTATTCTGTTTTTTCTTCAAAACCCAAAAAAATTCCATCTTCAAACACAATTATCACAAAAATTTACTTGATTCTATTACAAATCTTACGTTACTTCTGTATTCCTGTTGTTGTTAACTAGCAATGGCAGCTTCGAGTTCACGAGAAGGAGACGATTACACGATTATGGAGAAAGACCCAACAGGGCAATACTCAAGGTACAACATTATCATTGATAAAGGCCAACAAAAAGTAGTTTTCTTAGGATATGATGAGATTAATGGCATAGAAATTGCTTGGAAAAAGAAATTTTATAGAAATGATTGGTCATTTGGATTACTTCGAGAAGATTCGTTGTTGAGAATTTAGACCATGAAAATGTACTCAAAAGCTACCATTCTTGGGTCAGTCCACAAAATAAAGCGACATTTAACATAATTACTGAACTTTATTCTTGTAATTTGAGGGATTACACCAAGAAACATGATATTAAAGAAGGTGATCCATTAATCAAGAATTGGTGTAAGCAGATTCTGACAGGACTCGATTTTCTTCACAATCAACGCGATTGGATTGTTATTCTAAGGTGTCTGAATTTGGAAAACATATGTGTTGTTGGGGACTCAGGGACTGTTAAGATAGGGGATGTGAATTTCGCGGCGTTTGTTTTACCGGGGACTAATGATACTGATGGTGCTGCTAAACTTGCACTGTCTGAGATGCACTGTTTTGGGGTGTCTGCTGCAGATGCTGTATGATGAAACAGTTGATAGGAGATTACGTGAGTTAGACAATGTCACAGACGGAGAGCTTCAGAGGTTCATTCAGAGGTGTTCGGCTGATGTAGGAATAAGGCCTACTGTTACTGATCTTCTGAATGATCCGTTTCTTGAACCGAGTACTACTACTACAGCAGGTTCTGCAACAGCATCAGTACCATCTGTGAGTGTACCGTCTGCTGACACGAGTGATCAGGGGGTAAGAGAACAAGAACGACCGCCTTTTATTGCAGTGCTCAACGAAGAGTACACGAAATTTGCAGTAGTAGGAGAAAAGTTGGGCAGTGAACTGATGTCTGTGACAGTGAGGACTACTGAAGTTAAGATTGATGATTTTGTGTTCTGTGTCGAAACTGATACGCTTCTTGAAATGACAAATGAAATCAGAGAAGAATCTGGCCTGTCAGACGAAGAAGTTGCATCAATTGGTTAGAGACTGGAAATACAGAGATTATATCACCCACCTATTGTGGATGAAGAAGTTGATTTCGAGTATAGCACAGGTAGTAGTGAAAATCCTGAGGGTGATATCGAAGATAACACAGGTATTGAAAATCCTGAAGGTGATATTGCTGTTAACACAGGTATTGAAAATCCTGAGGGTCAAATCGACGATAACACAGCAAATTCTGAGGGTGAAATCGACGATAGCACAGCAAATGCTGAGGGTGAAATCGACGATAATACAGCAAATGCTGAGGGTGATATCGACGATAATACAGCAAATGCTGAGGGTGAAATGGACAATAACACAGGTATTGTAAATCCTGATGGTGATATCGCTGATGACACAGGCATTGCAGATGCTGAGGGTGATATCGACGACAGAAACTCATCTGCACCAACTGAAAATGCTAGACAGGTAGCTGATGAAATGGGTCTGGGAAATCAGGAAAGTCTATTAAGGTGAAACGGCTAATTGGAGTAATTACAATGTGGGAAAGACACAATGTAGTTGCTTTCGAATGCTGTCATTTCTAGGCTTAGTTAACAGTCTGATTGTTTAGTACAAAATTAGGCTTTCGTAGTTTCGTTTATGTCATAATAAAAAACTTTCTCTATGATGTTTGGTATGTTAGTGATACTTAAGTGTGTCAATAAGTATGATATCTCTTCGTCAAAAAAAAATAAAAAATAAAAAAAATAAAAAAATAAAAAAATTTGAGACTCATGTTGATTGTCATTTGTAAGTGTTTGATTGAGATATATGAACATTGGTGTGTTAGTTATATAATAAGATTGTAATAAAATTTGAGACTGCAATTTGTTTTCCTTCTTTAATTTCTAGAAATTCTATACTTAACAATCAATCAATTCTCTCATCTTGTTACTCAATAACCTACTACGGAGTATTAAGTATCTTAAGCACGGGTTATAATTCAAGTTACTAGAGTTTTAAATAAAGTGTTCAGCTTGAGCCGGATTATATTTTCATTAGTACAATACTCTTAGAGTTGGTTATTAGTGATATTGTGACATCTCGAGTTATAGGGTATTAGTGAGGCTAACTTTGGTTTTGTTTATGCATCCTCATCTCCTCTAAAATTCAGTAAACAGAAGGATAGAAGAGTAGGGCAGAACCATTAACCTTGAAGTAATTACGATCGATTAAACCTAATGTAAACTTATGTTTAAATAAAATTAGCATTTCAAAATTAGATTAATAGGCCTATTAACAAAATTTGAACAGCTAATAATATTTCTAACTCCATCATTTTACACACTATTATAGAAGAGCCACCTAGCTTGAAACAAATGTGTAGGCTTTTCAAGATTTATTGATCCCTCTAGTGTTTCTTCCTTGGGAGAATTTTTCGTTTCTCGCTCTTTAGGTTTCTTCTGTTTTTGTGAAGTTTTCTTTCACTCTTCTTCCTTTACTCTCCTCTTTCATCTTTTTGTTTTTTCCTAATCTTAGCTGTGAATCTTTGCTACCTTGTACACATGTCAATACACTAGTTGGACCTTAAATATATATGATTAAATATTGGTAAAAGAATTATTAAAAAGTTGATATCATGAAATTTTCAGAGCTTTTTCAGTGCGGCAGGCCACATGGTGCGCAGGAGTTACTTTTATTCTAGGTTACTTGTTTTTGAAGTTACTTGTAGGTGTTACTTGTAGAATGTTACTTGTATTTTGGGTTACTTGTATGGATTACTTGTAGGGGTTGAGTAACACCTACAAGTAACCCCAGACCAAAACCCGTACCAAACCCGTAACACCCTACAAGTAACCCCTGACCAAAACCAGTAACACCCATACAAGTAATCCCATAATTCAAGTAACCCCTGACCAAAACCAGAAATACTCATACAAGTAATCTCTGAGTACAAGTACCCCCTGACAAACCTAGTAACACCTATACAAGTAACCCCATAATACAAGTAACCCCTGAAAAAACCAGTAACACCATACAAGTAACCCTTGCCGCACCATGTGGCCAGCCGCATACAAAAATTTGTGTGAAATTTTATATTAAGGCAAAAGCTAATGAGCGCCTCCGAGGCGTTAGATAACAGAATTAAAAGCGGAAATATTAGAGTAAAACTAATATTGATTACATTTAACGACGCGTGATTTTGTCATACATTCCTAACTTAATACTCTTTCAACCAATATAATTATTCATTATCTAATGCCCCGAAACGCTCGTTAGCAAGATCCTTATATTAATACTATTTACCAATATAATTTATGATTAAGTATTTTCTTAACATTATTAAAAATAAAATAAGAAAAAGAAGTCAAGTTTGTTAATTATTTAGGAACAGGCAGATTAATGTGTATGTTATTGTAATAGAGGGACCTAATAAGCAATAATCACATTGCTTTCAAATCCAATCCTTTCTATCTCTCTCCTCTTGTGCATGTGGTGGCCTTATGCTAGCTAGTAGTACTTAATTAAGACACCAAATTTAAAAGTTTGCAACAATGTAAAACGTGGAAAGGATAAACTCTCTTTTGAGGGTGTAACATCAAATAAATATCTTTTTTGAGAAAAAGGGGCAAAATTTCTGTTGCAAAAATTTCTTAGTCATTCTTTTCAAATTTTATCTTACATCTTTTAAGTTCGATATGATTTCTCTTTTACATTATTTCTCTTTGATAAGTAAATTTGGCAAGGATAAGGGGAAACCAATATCGACATGTTCATCATTAGGGATGTACATAGTGCAGTTTAGACCGCACCAAACCGCAAACTAAATCGCAATTTTGCGGTTTGGTGCGGTTTGCGGTTTGAAATTTGCGGTGCGATTTTTAAAAATGACCAAACCACGGTTTGCAGTTTGGTACAGTTTCAAAAAATATTGAGACCAAACCACACCGCAAACCGCACTTTAATGTGGTTTGCAATTTTTATATTATATTTTCATTAAAATTATATAAAAGAACTAAAGTATATGAGCTAATCTTTAACTATTAGTTAATTAAAGAGTAATTAAAAGAGTTTAATATTAGAATTATAAACTATTAATAAAAAATAAAATAATGTTATGAAAATATCTATTGTGGATGACTATTATCCCATGTAATATCTAGAATACTCTAGAGTTGCGTATTTGGTCTTATCCGTTGATGGAAACCTAGGCAATGTACATGTATATATATCTCGTACTAGATGGAATATGAAATACAACGTAACAGTTTTCCCTCATCTCTCTATATTTTTTCTTCCATATTTAACACGTTATCAACACCATTGCTTTAGTTATTGGGAATCGGAGCAAACATTATTGCTAGCCGGCTTGTTGCCCAACCTCAATTTGCCGAATGCAAAATATACGTACAGTTCATCCAATTGAGGTGAGTGTAATTACCTCCACCTCCACTTTGTATAGATTAAAATTATATTCCAATAGATTGTTTTGAACTGGAGAAGATTTGGTTGATTACAATCATGAAAGTTTTGGTCTTTTGTTTGTTAATGCCGAATTACCGAATTGCATATTTTTGTTGTTTTATTTTCTTAAGTCCATATATATGCAAGTGTAATCATGTCTCATATTCGTATGGATCTATAAGCATCTCTATTGGTATTCTCTGTGTTTATAATTAAGAAATTTGTAAATTATCATGTTTTGTTTTCCTTTATGTATATATTTATGATTAGTTTTTGTTTTGATTAGTGGAGTATGTGATAATATATCATCATTATCATAATATGAATAATATACTAGGAGAATGTTAAGATTTTATAAAACTATGTTTGTATTGTAATTCATAATTTGATTACCAACTATGAGTAGTACACTATATATATATATATATATATATATATATATATATATATATATATATATATATATATATATATATATATATATATATATATATATATATATATATATTTATATCATGGCTTATTTTAGTTATGCAACATTAATTTTATTTTTCCAATACATTTGGTATGCATATGTTTGATATTTTATGAGATCTAATTTTGAACAATATTTTGTATAGTGAAAAAATGCCGAACCTTGCCAAGCTCGAATTTGTGGCCCTTGATATTACCGGAAAGAATTATTTATCATGGGTGTTAGATGCTGAAATACACCTAGATGCTAAAGGGCAACACCTCAAGATAAGGCTAAGGCCATGATATTCCTTCGCCATCACCTCCATGAAGGACTTTAAAATGAATATTTAACTGTGAAAGACCCACAAATCCTTTGGAGTAATCAAAAGGAAAGGTATGACACCAAAAAACAGTAATACTCCCTATAGCTCGTTATGAATGGTAGAATTTGAGATTGCAAGATTTTAAAGCTGTTAGTGAATATAACTCAGCTATGTTTAAACTAACTTCTCAATTGAAATTATGTGGAGAAAATATTACTGATGTAGAAATGCTTGAAAAGACATACTCCACTTTCCATGCTAATAATATTGTCCTACAGACACAATATAGAGAAAAAGGTTTTGAAAAATATTCTGAATTAATATCCTGTCTTCTTGTGGCTGAGCAAAATAACGAGCTTTTAATGAAAAATCGTGAATCACGGTCCTACTAGCTCTACTCCATTCCCTGAAGCGACTGTGATAACCCATAACGGGAAAGAAATTAAAAACAGAGACCATTCCAACAGTAGTGGTCGAGGTAGAGGTCACGGTCGTGGCCAATGGCGCGGCCGGGGTCGAGGACGTGGATATGGTAGAAGTCGTGGAGGTCATTTCACAAACTCACATTCCCACTAGAAGTGGGAACATAGGGATGATAAAGAGAAAAGTGATACAAATTTATGTTACCGTTGTGGAGCAAAAGGTCATTGGTCTCGGGTTTGTAGAACTCCAAAGCATCTTGTTGAACATTACTAAGAATCATTGAAGAAAGGAAATAAAGTTGAGTCAAACCTTGTTCTTGAAGATGGTGAAGGTGATTTTGATTTTGGCAATGCCAATCAATTTGATGTTGCTGATTTCCTTACTTCCCCGGAAGGGAATAATTTTTATTTTGGCAGTACAACTCATTTAGAAGTTGTTGATTTCTTCACTGCCCCAGAAGGGAATAATTAAAATTATATTGTTTTGTGTCAGTTTTAAGTATTACACTTATGTTTGCTTATTCTAGTGATTTACTTAAATTTATTTTTTTCGTTGTAATAAGGACTTTTGCTTTATAAATTTATGAACTATTTGAATGTTTTTATTGATTTATTTATTTTATCATCTTTATTTTTATGCTTAATATTTTGACATGTATTTTTTTTCATGAAGAACATGGATATTACTCAAGTTCAATTAGCTATGAATGGTGAAAAAATATGTCTTGCTGACAGTGCAACTACTCATACAATACTTAAAAATAAAAAATATTTCTCTCATTTGATGATGAAAAGGATTAATGTGAGTACCATATCGGGTAGTACAAATATCATTGAGGGCTCCAGAAGAGCCACTATAAAATTGTCT